TTTTATTTCCAATATTTTTCAGGTATTCCGGATCAACGTAAGGAACAACACCAAAAACATCTGTTGAATGATTAGAAACATCATTTATCTTTCGAGATAGTCCAAAATCTGCTAGTTTTATATTGTTCTGGTGTATAAGTATATTTTGTGCATGCTATATGTATAAAGTTCACATGATTTAGTATATACAGTACAATCAAAAATAAAATCAAGTTATTTTAAATGAATACATTACCAAATCACAATGAATGATTCCTTCGTTATGCATGCATGCTACAGCATTTGCAAGTTGATAGGCTAATTTATATTTATCATTCCATTCAAGCTTTTCAAAACTTTTTTCTAAATAAGTCTGCAATGTTCCACCATCAGCGTACTCCATAACCAACAAATACTTATCAGTTTCTAATTTTGATATTCCATAAAATTTTATAATATTCTCATGATAATCAACCGCACGTTGCATTTTTATCTATTATATTAAGCAATTTTATATATTTTATAATAAAAGTGGAAGAATTGCAATATTTGTAATACATACCTCATTAACGATTTCTTTAATATCTGAAACGTAAGAAGATTTTATAACCATAACGGTAGAATTGTTCCAGTTTGCACGAGAAATATTTCCATAAGAACCATTGCTAATTTCTTCCTTACCTATGAACTTTGCATAATCATAGTATTTGATGTAATCTTCTGATATTGCCCTTTCTATCCAATCGAAGTAAACGAATTCTTGTGTTTCAGTAGACATAATTACGAGGAAAAAAGAGTTCTTTTTTTGTTTTTTTCCAAATTACACAAATAGAGTATTGGCGTATTTGTATTACAAAATTTGATGATCGATAGATATAGAAATTAATTGATTGTCGGACAATTTAAGTCCAATGAAATTCCTGACTGCGCCTTTCGTAATTACATAATTTCATCAACCCTTTAACGCTGGTCAGCTAATTATTTAAATTATTTTTTTATTTTATTTTATATTATTTGTATATATAGACTTGTAATTTTATTTTTCTTATAATTTGTTGTACTGATGACCTCCTATAGTTACTCCCCTCTTATAAGCACATTTGTTTTATTCATATTATTAACTTTTTAAAAAATAGCTTTTTTATAATCACACCATTTTTTTTGGCGTAATTGAACCCTCTTACTCAAAAAATTAAAAGTTATGCTGCCGCAATTTCCAAGAGAAGTAAACCTTATTTTTGCTTATATTTATGTGCAATTTTCTTAACTTTCCGTGACTGCTAATTTATCTTAATGGGATAATTGATGACAGATGATAAATAAAGTATGTCACATGATCGTGAAACAGTTAGTTGGAAACTTTATTTTTATTTTTATTAATAAAAATTAAATAAATTTGTAAATTTTAATACAAAGGATTTCTTTTACTAATTAAATAAATGGTACAAAGACAATCTCAAAATCTGTCAGTCGAACGGTCGGTACGTTATTTCCGTGACCACTGTCTAACAAATTCACACGCGTAAAGAAATGTTATGCTCACATGGAATAACAACTTCATGTAAAAGAAGTGATTGATTTTAGAGAGGATTTAAAATATTCACGAATATAAGTACCAATTATGCAACCGTAAAATAGCGTGATTGATACTTCACAATTCTTGTAATCTGATTGAGGATTCTCTAATTGCGTTGTGTTCCAGTTCTAAAATTAGAATCTGACTGAAGATCTAAACTGATTCAAAACGTTCCGTTTTATTATAGAGACTGCATCACATTTTTAATGATCTACACGAATTTTTATGTAACTTGGAGATTTAATTTACATTATTTTAGATATTTTTATTATAAAGTTTATATTATCAGATAAACATTTATCATAAAAGTAATATTACAGTATACATTTTTATTGATTCATATTAAACAATATTTAAAAGCATATTATAAATTTTGTAAACCTTTAGCTTCTTGAAATGGAATGCAAGGTTCTTCTGAATTAATGGTGGCGAGTCGGTATTTCTAGTTATGTATTAATAATATGAATATTTTAATATACCGATTATTAATAATTAAACTCAAAACGTACCTTTATATTTGCTGATAAGTATTTTTTGAATTAATTGTTGATTTGACATATTCAACTTGTTGAATGGTTAGTATTTCGGAGCAATATAGACAAATATTATCTTGTTCTAATTAATAATAATGTACATAAAAATTAAATTTTATTAATGCAAAATTTTAGCGTGATATTACTTGCCTTTTTTTGAGGCGGTTCTTTTAAGAACAAAGGGTGAAAAGTAAGTTTAAAATAAAATAAGCTTTGTCCTTTGTTATGGTCAGGCCGAACAATAATATTTTATTATAATTTGACTAATTTACTTATCAATAAATTAAAAGGATTCTGATCAGTGCTCTGAAGTAGGCCAAAGGTAAAGATAAAAATTTTATTTCATCCTATCGAAATATAAAGCAAAACGAAGTATATTTATAACAATCAGCGTATTTCCTAAATATCAAGAACTAAATTAAATAAAAGGCCTGAATGAACATTCGTCAATATCTGTCCGAAATGTCAGAATCAGATTTATATCATAAATAATTATTTGTGCACATATATATTTTTGTGAAATAAATTTTACGGGGGGGAGGGCTCATGTCAAATAAAGCATTGATTATTATTTTATTCATAAGTTATAAGTTAGTTCTTTGCCTTTTCAAAAACCATTGTCTTTGCTAAATTTCGTTACACTATGCTAATCACCAAAGGAATTTATTTCGTTTTCGGTTAATTTAAGGATCTCAATAATATGGGAGCTGATCTATTAAAAGTGGGTTACGAGACATAGTAAATCATATGATCCGTACCTCAATTTTAATAGAAAACTACCCATATCACCATATTAAAAAATCAGAATCATAAAATACTCCATTAATATTTACCATTACTTACCATCTTCCCCAAATCCATTTTACCATCGCATCAATTAATTAACACAACAATTAGCTGATCACATTGTCGTATCGTTCTTGCCTATTTCTCGAAATTCAAATGTAAAATTTAATTATGAAAATAACACGATACGATTAACTTACTGAAATTTGGGAACATTTTGGGAAATCAAGATTCAAAGAAATGGCATTCTGGATGTAAATTCGCTTCTGATTCCCTTGTAAGAATATTTAATTTATTTAAGAAAAGATAAAAATATTTTTATTTTTTGAATACTACAATTTCACTTTCGTTGATAATTTTTTTCATAGTCGGCATTATCAACTGTGAGGCAAGTAGTCAGAATGATTGAAAAGACTGTACTATACAATTTTGCTTAACTTTATGTATTATTTTATTTATTTCGTTGTATGAACTATTTTGGTTCCATGGACACAGGTTAATAGTGATGCACCACCCTTGGATAATTTTCACTTTTCTTCTTGGTAGTGAAGTACTGCGTGGTGAGATCTGCATCACCTTTTTGGTGGCTTGTGCTCGCAACAAAAACAAAAAAAAAATGAAAAAAATGAAAAATATTAAATATAAATTGAATTTCTACTTTATCTATAATGACCTAATGATTTTTTCTTAGATTCCTCTTATGCGTTGGTTCCGTAAGATTAGTTAGATAAGGCGATTATTAATTTTTTTCTTGTATGTTTACTATTATTACAATTACTTACAAACGTTCCAAACTCAAAAACATTGTGCTAATCATTTTCTACTATTCTTCGCAGATTGAATTTAGGACGTTCTTATATTTTATGATTGAATGGCTCCAATTTATACTTTTTTTTTGCTTACATGACAATAAAAATCTTTTGAATTATTGTTTCTCGTAATATATCCAAAATATAAAAATCTTGCGCCTTTCCTTTCTGATTTAAGTTTTAATTTTTTGGGGGTTCGGGTTCGATCGTTTTTAATCGCAGCGATTTAACATTTTCTTTTTTTGTTTTTGGAGTTTGGTAAGTCAAAATTCGACGTAATAATGCACAACGGACTGAAGCACTAAATTATTTGAATTTTCAAGTAAGTAACAGGTTGGATTTTTTATTCTTTTTCATTTTACATGACGTGATTTTTTTTTGATTATTAAGTATTCTAATTTTCATTTTTATTTTTTGGATTCGTGAATCGTTTAAGCTAGTGTTCCGAATCGGTCAAGTTCTAATCCGGATCCCAATGAAATGTTTTTTGATCGATTATTCAGATGATCATCCGTTTAATCACAATTACGGATTATGGATCTTCCGATTAATTGTCATGTTTATCTGTTGAAAAATAAACCACGATAATTAATTTGATACTCAACAAATTTAATTGAAGGGAGTCAATACATTCTTAAAGGTCCCACCAATTGACGGCTTTGTAATAATTTCTAAATAAAGGGATAATTGTTTTTATTATACTTATTTATAAAATATGTAATTTAAAACTCCCATTGAAACTATGCTCGATCATCTGAATATCCGGATGATTACTTAATGAAACCGTAAAAAAAGAGGTAAATCTAAATTTGATCAAATTTATTATTGTTCAACAAGTAACGAAGAGATTGGTTGAAATAAAATTTCGATGTATGTTAATTAAAGTAAAATGATCAATTAATTTGCATTTTATAGAGAGATTGGAACCGTCTCCTAATTCATCACCCGGTTATCCGCATCATATATGTAAATCAGGAATGAATAATTGTCTAATCAATTTTTTGAATTTTTTACATCCATAATGTATATAATTGAATTTGGACTCGGTAAAAATGGCGTAAAATGTGTTATTCATATTCTTTAGTACATCCTCTCTACTTTAAATTGTTTTTATCAATTAAATTAAAAAATATAAAACTTACTGCAGTGGAAATTCCTCTGCTTACATAAAAAAAATTTAATTAAAAAATCAAAAAGTCTTTAATTCCAAAATTCAAGCCTCCCAATATTAATCTCCTGAATAAACGTAATGTAAATTGAATTTTCTAATATTTCATTAATAATATAATACTTTATAATCTCGAAGGTTATAATGTCGAAATTAATCTATCTATAATTATAAAAAAATTAACGTTAGATTACCTGTATAAATAAATTTTTGAGTTAATGGATGGATTGACGACATCGTCATTTGGTATTCACGATTATTTGATTTAAACTGTTTTTTTTGTTTATGTAATAGATAAACTAAATCATTTTTATTTATATTTATATTTTTATTTTTTTACATTATTTATGTAAGAAACTTCCAATTTGATCTAACAAGAAATCGGAAAAAAGAAAATTCTCACGAACATTTCTTAAAAAAATAATACATACAACGCTTTTATTTTGCTGTGGGTTTGGTTAATTCTCGGAATCAAAATATTAATATTTATAGCTTTCTATCCAAAAGACTCAGTAAAAGATAGTGATTTAGAGAAATTTAAAAAAGGAGATATATTAAGTTTCAGGGTAGATTTTCGATAATTGAAGCAGAAGTCAACGAAAGTAAAGATAAATGGTATTAAATAAATTAAATAATAAAAATAAAATTTGTATTTTTTTAATTAATGTATTTTATTAAAATAAATATACATAAATATATAAATGAAGAAAATGAAAAAAGAAGGTTGTAGCATCTGACATATGAATACTTAACCTTGACGAAGAAGATCTTCCATTGTTATTTGATAGGATAATACTGAAATTAAAAGCGATAAAGTTAATCTAGATTTGAATGCAAGAGAATATATTGATAATCAAATAGTGCTCTTTTGTTTAACTTATATCATTTTCCAAAAGATAGCCATTTGTTACCAATTACAGCAAAAATTTCGCGTGGTACTTTTTATATATTTATCAATCATTGAAGACCTTTCGTTTATTAGAATGACGCAAATCAATTTTATTAAATCACCTTATTCCCAAATTTAATTTTACTTTATAGATTATATACACGATAATAAAATTTTGAGATTATTAAATTTCGAAATCATACATTTTTACTAAAAACTCCCATAATAAGTAATAGTTACTCGGCACGAAGTGCCGAGTAACTGTGGTATTTGCCGCAGTTATGAGGCATGTAGTGCTGAGTAACTGTTTTATCGGGCATAGTATATTACATTTGAGTAAAAAAATTATACTAATTTAATTAGGTTGATAATGATGATGTTGATCGTCAACAATGACAATCGTAACAAAAGGTTATTTTTTTTTTTCTATAAAAATTTCCTTTTTTTTTAATTACCTTTTTTAACCTTGCTTTTTTTTTCCAGATTTTATTTTTAAAATTCTTTTTTCGAAAATATGACACAAAACATTATGCCAAAAGAAAATTTTTTACCATCCATCGATCATCTTACCGCACTTGCTAAAGGAAGGGTTCCTCAAAACACAATTAATAATACTGAAAAATGGATTAAATTAATGAACAAATGGAGAGCAGATGTTAGTTATAACTATCCTTTAGAAAGTCAAGATAAAGATACCATTAAACTTCAAGTTACCCAATTTCTTTGTGGTGTAACTACTTTAAAGGGTAATCATTATTCACGAACTTCTTTAAAAAATGCTTTATCTGCCATTAGTAGACATCTGCAAGATGTCAAACCGGGCTGGAGATATAATTTACATAACAAAGTTGATTTTCCTGATTTATATGCTCGTTTTGATTGTCTTCTTAAAGATATGAAAAAGAAGGGTATTGGTGAAACAAAAGTTACAGATGGATTATTAACTGATGAAATTCATCAAATTATTCATCATGAAGCATTAAATTCCAATGCACCTTTAGGTTTATTAAAACGATTTTTTTTTTGGATTTGTTTATTGGATGCCTCAAGGGGTGGTGAACATATTAATCTACTAGCTTCCCAAATAATTGATACTCCAGAAGGAATTATTTTTACAAAAAGACAGCAAAAAAATGATCAAGAAGGAATTGATGGAAATCGGTTTGACTTGAATATTCCATTTTCCCCTGATCCACCTGGAATTGCTGGTCCAAATCATGACATTAGAAAATTTATTTCACTTCAACCTCAAAAAGGAAAATGTCCATATTTTTATTTATCAATTAATAGAAGTGCTAATGGTAATATTTTTTAAAAATTTTTTATATTTTATTTTATAATATTTTATTAATATTATATATACATTTTATTTATTAGCTATAGCTCAAGGAAAGTGGTATAAAGATAAACAGTTGGC